ACGGGTGGTGGTGGTGGGGGGGGGGCTGGGGGGGGGGGGTGCATGCAGAGACGAAGTTTAGCAAAATATGTAAAGCTGGCAAACATACTCCAGACCAGTAAAGCACCTGCATCTCCAGCTCACTGAAAACATATAGGTCAGGAGGAACCGTGTCCTGGTTTTGTCCTGACTGAAGCTTGACTCTGAACTTGAGACCACACAGGGCAGAGAGCGCTAAAGCAGAACCAGTGAATACAAACACAGAGACGGCTAGACGAGTCACAAATAGAGCTACCTCCCTGCCTCACTGAGCGTCCTCATCCATCCTTTATCGAGACCCAGATTCCACATCATCAACACCATGACCGTGGCATTTATTCTCAGGCCTCTTACGTGGCCTGCAGATCATTGTATCTATTCTCAGCCACTACAAAATAAGCAGGTTACCGTTTGTATACATAAGGTGGGTGAACCTACAATGACAGTGGTGCCATTACAGGTCTGAGTGTATTCAGCAGGGTCACTTTGGTGGTCAGGTCTGGGCTTGTCATCACAGAGCACTGCCAAAACACCAAAAAGCTTCAGCGGAGCATGTGGTAACACCAAGCTCTTCTGGGTGAATGGAGACTTTAAATTATTCCACAGATAGACACACTTTTAGTTGGGGTGTCACACAGATTGAAAGCCACACAGTAGCATAAATATAGACATCTGTTGCAGTTTGATTTTGAAATAAGTCTAGATTTGGTTTTACTGTACCATTTCTTGGCTGGGAGCAGTTACTTCTTTAAGTCTCAGCTGGTTTCCTGACCTCACTGTGATGACATGAATCCAGGAAGAAACTGAAAAACTTGTTGCACAACAGTTTTTGTACAGATTTACAAGCTAGTCTTTATGCTAACCGTCCCTTTGCTCAAGCTTATTTAATGCACAAATCTGAGAGCGGTATCAATATTATCTACCTCTACCTCGCAGCAAGAAGGTTAATACGCATATTCCCCAAAATACCAATATAACAATTTATCTAAGACTCCTTCTCAAAGAAATATAATTATATTGTTTAATATAATGATGTTGAGACCTTCTTCAAGATTGCAAACATTAGAAGCAATCATGTTTTCTTGGAATAGTAATTTTTGAAAAAAACAACAACAGTAAAATGGGGTCAAGTGACAGGGGAGAGGTAAAGGTCCTTAAATGTTGATTGAGATAAACACCATTTCCTCATTATAAGTCCATTAATTCATGCACTAATGTTCCCCTAAAGACACACACAAACACACACAACCACTGTATAAACCATGGACCCCATCCACAAACATACATTCGCACACACACACACACGACACAGGTCTTGAGATAAGACTGACCGGTGGTAATTGTGGTCTCTATTACAGTAAACGCTGTTCTCCCTGTGTAAACCACAGTAAATTACATCCAGATGGGAGATTAAAGCTGAGTAGACGGCTGCCCCGAGCGCCACCGCTCCTCCTCCTCCTCTGCAGGAGGAAGGAGAAATCCATATTTCCTGATTGCGATTGCGGCCCTCCCTTGGGCCGGGACATTACAACTAGAGAGAAATACCACAACAGCGCAAATAACAGCCCGATCAGTCAGCAGGTCACTGCCACTGCGTAGCCCAGCATGCAGACATCTGGACTACAACGGTGAACAAGTGTGTAAGAAAGACAAAGAGAAGGGGCCACTTGTTTTTTTTATGTTTCATTGTCAAACACTGAGCTGCATCTTGACAAAAGCTGTTGCTCTTTGATTCTGAGAAACTGAAACCCAGATCTGATGTTTACTGTTGATGTTTTAGGAAACCTTCTGCTGATGAATCTCTATTGTAACAACTGGAAATGTGACGTCATGCCGTCTACACTTGGCTAGTTGTGAACAAGAATGAGAAAAACACACCATGCACACAAACACGGCACACGTGTGCGACACAGATGGTCAGACTCAAGTATTGTGTTGCTGCCGGTGATGACGTAAAGGAAACACCTGTGTAACGTCGCGTCCTCACACATAGAGAGCAGAGGAACATGCTTCACTGGTGAAGAGTCGAACAGTCTAGCAACATCAAATGAGTTAGGCAAGAAGTGATTCCTTTTTCAGATTTCCATGGTTTTATCCAAGGAAAATGCTGTATTTTCAAATTGACACGAACAAATAATTCCATAATCTCATACTTTAATAATCTTATTTTCATCCGACACTGATTTTTCTTGACAAAATGGAGATATGTCGACGTCTACAGCACTCGGCAGCTTTGCCTAGAAAATGCTTACTGTTGTCAGTCAAGTTGTTTTGATGCAATATTTTACCTGTTTTTATCACTTTGACAAGAATAAGAAGATATTGTACACAAACGGCTCTATTGGATTTTTATAAGGTGGGGGGGAAACAAGAGGCAAAGCTCTATTGAGTGAAGTACAAGCAAAAACTCAGCATATCCACAGTGTTGTAGACACACACTGTGCATATACAGTATGTGGTTTATATGCACAGGAAGTACCAATAATACACTGAACAGGAGAACGGAGAGTATCTTGGAACAAAATAACCGGTGGACAGCATTGGTAACTGAGTGACCAAGAGGCCACCATTGTTCAGAGGGAAACCCAGGTGCTTCCACTCTCTATCAGGGGCCATATATGAACGGGACCAGGACCGTTTTTAAGAGAATGAATCACATCTGACCGAGTACACACCTGACTTGAAATCACAGGTATTGGAACAACATGAGTTCTATCTCTTGTATCAGCAATGTTGATTCTGCTTGCTGTTAAATCCCAACATACAGTGGCAATGATGTTTCTTGTGCAAAAGGTAACTAACTAACTGACTAACTAACGGTCGGTGAATGTTTATGCTTTCATCAGCACTGGTTTAGATACTGAATTTGTTTACTCAGCTGTAATCATTTCCTCAAATCTCATCACGCCTGTACTTGACCTTTACACATTTTTTACCAATCTACAACACGAGTAACAGCTTGCTTAGATGTGTGTAGCTGTCATTTTGAACATCATGATAAATTAAAGCTTAAAAGGAGAAAATATATAAAACAGTAGTCATGGTTAATTTATACAGTGGAACAACTACTGCTACTGCTAACATAAACATACACTTTGTTTTCTCATGGTTCCCACCCTTAGTGTGAGTACAATCATTTGAACATTTGACCTCTTCTGGTCTTTACAATCTACTGACATATGCAGACAATATTTATGTCAAATAAGCAGACACTGCTTTATCAAAGAGGTCACAAGCCAAAAAAGGTTGGGTACTAATGATACCAATCATACAACCTCAAGTCAATATGAAGACATGAGGAAGAAAACAACATGCAGGGGCCACAATAAACATCTCACTTGTTTCATCAAACATATTCAAATGACAGACCTTTGTTTAAAAGTGATTAAATGCCTCTACCACACACACACTGAGCTATGCTGTAAATCCCTGGTAGTAATATTAAGCACATGAAGTTAAACCCACCCTCTCTCTTGGCCACTCTTAGCGGACATGAATGACTGCATGAGTCACGAGGATAATGACGGCAGCTCCAGCTGCGACTATAGTGAGAAATGCTCATTATCAATAAGTGACACATATTTACGGGTAAAGAATCCCAAAGAGAGACATTTATAAATCACACTCCCAAGCATATGGCTGATGTATGCTTTTTCCACTTTGGTAGGCCCAACAGTTTATTTTGGGGGGGGCTGACAGGGCGGACACCTACCAGAAGAGTCTCATTTTGCCACTATGACTTTAAAAGAGCTGCTAGAATGAGTGTCGCTTGTCTGCTAAAAATGTGGAATATTTGGGTCTTTAGGTGCATCTTTGCAAAGCAACCGTTCCTTTTAAAGCTAATCTTTCTACATAAGCAAATAATGAATGGCAAACAAAGGGTTAGAGAAAGACCTCAAATATAACAAGCTCAGATCCTCACAGTCAGTCTGTATCAGCGGACAGGTTGTTGAATCTTAGAATTGAATGGTTTACATTTGCTGTCAGTCTCTTGGGCAGCGGAGGGGCATTTAACCTGCTTCACTTTGCGGGCCCTGGATTTTGTCACTCCTATTTTGACTGAGCAGGCCATGAGCTGATTATGAGGATTAGTGGAGATGTGGTGATCCCATCCCTCTCCCACTCACACTCAATTCAGCAACAGCTGCAAAGTTTCCGGCTAGAGAATCTGGTGGGACATGGAGATATTTCCAACCTTGAGACCCTGACTTTGTGAGAGTAAAATGTCTAAATGTGAACAGCAGCCTGGCAAAAGGGAAAGTAAAACAGTGCTACTTAGTTCAACAGGTCCAGCAGTGTATGGAGTGTGACTGAAGCACTGAATGGACACAACAATGACCTGGTTTTGCATTGAACATGAGAGGCATCAGAGATAGCTGCCAGCCATCAGCCTCCTTGGGACGAAATCAGAAACTGAATGGGTCCAAGAGCCTCAGCGCAAGTTGGCACAAGTCCCGCTGTCCAATGGTACATCCTCTTACTAGTGTTTCTAGCCTTTGAATGAGATTCACTCCAGTTTCAGCTCTGTCCTGTTCTGGCACATTTTCATTTTAAGACTAAAAGGCAATGTCAGGCAACAGAGAACAGAACATCTTTGTACCACAGTAATCCCCTGCCAGCCTGACAGTGATATGACTGGCCTGAAATTAAGTTTCAATAGATTTTTTTTCACACACACACACACACACACACACACACACACACACACACTGGTTCATTTTTATCAGCTTGACTATCCACACTGCACGTACATATTTAACATGCTTAGATGAAACACGGCAGGGAGGAAAAGCTGCAGTTGCAGATGAAAATAAGAGAAACTAAATACTTTAAACTTGCTATACCAGTTTTACCTGATACACTGCAAACACTTTGAGATGAGCTTAGCAGCTTGTCAACTCACCAGGATCTGGTGAAACTATCGGTATTACCTTTCAAATATTTATTGAGGATTGCTTATTTAAGGGAATTCTCACCAGCATGGGAATCAGAGTGTTTTCTGATGGAAATCTACACTGCAAAAAAAAAAAAGAAGAAAAGAAAAAAGACCTTATAGGCCTAGAAGTGGGAATGTGTGATGCCTCTGTAATTATAGTCTGAGTAAGCTTAGAGGATCTGCCAGATCCAACAGTGAGTCACTTTGCATCATGTGTTCCACAGGCAGAGAGATGCAGTTTGTCACGTTTCATTTCATGAATGAATTGAGCAGAATGGCGCTCATTCAAAACGGTACGAAGGTGTCAAAGCACAATTATCACTTCATCTACGTGGCTTCTGCTGACTCGACCATTCAGCCTACATTTTGAGACTGATAGCTATTAACATATAAGAATCTAACAATAGGCACGTTTTTTCAATATTCTATCAGAATGATAGAAAATCCAATTTCTTGCTGCGCATAACGTCTCACTGAATGTAGCTTACCTGTGCAGGTGAGAGCAGCAGATACAGCGCCACCGCAGCCTGGATGACAAGACCGAGTTTCATTTCGCGATGTCTGCGAGTGGAGAGGAGGTGATGGCTCCCGGTGTACACAATAAGACAATCCAAACAAAGTGCCAAACTACTCAGAAAAGAAAAAGAGATGCTGACCGGGAATTTCCAACTCATCCGCCCTCCCGGTTCAGCAGGGTTATACTGGGAGTGAGTGCAGTCACGTAGCTCCGCTTGACGCGTGTAACCTGATGAAGTGGATTGTGCTGACTAAGGCCCCAGTGGCGAACTGAAAGGTGCTGGGGCAATAAGATAACACAACTAAAGCTTTCAAATTCACTGAATAAACTGAATCAAAGCGCAAATCCTACAACGTCTCTGCAGCATGAAATAGTGGCAACCAGTTTTGACAAGTCATATTCAGTGCAAAAAAAAGAAAGAAAGTAGTCTATTCAGTCCAAAAACGTGACGATCTGCTCCATGTGTGAAGTTGCACCGACAGTTTCAGTTTTCAGTCCTGCTCTGAGCTGAGCTTTGCTTCTAAGTGCCACCCAGCCACCTTTTCACAAGCTGACCATTTAAATCTCCTCCCCTTCTCTGTCCTCCTCTTTGCTCTGCCTCATCTGTCATCACACAGCTCCCTGCCCCTTTCAGCTGCAATATGTAATGGTAATTTATGTGATGATGTAAATGGTTATGCAGAGACTGTGGCACTGGTGCTTTATTTCTGAATGGTAGACTATACACTACAGGTGATTTACAGAGTATAAGCAGACTTGCTAAGAAGCTTCTCCTGGGGACCTTTTTGTGAGCGCTATTCAGGCAGGGTAAACATTAAGAGATCCTTTGCAGTGGTGACATGGATGGTATACTCATTGCTGTCTCGGGCTCCAGGATGCACAGAGATTTTCCTCTGAGGCTTTAGTATTTGCAAAGACAGAAAGGGAGATTCCATTACTGTTGACACAGAGTTAATCTTCAGTGTGAGACTTCTGTGTTTGGAGAAACCCTGGAACGAAAGGATTCCTTGTGGGCTTCCACACATTCCTTCAACAGTGCTGAATAGCTCCACTGCCTCCTGCTATTGTACAGACCACACTCAGGAGTGTGGTGTTGTTAAACATCTCAGACACTTTGGTGAGAGTAAACCATCCCCCCCATTACCATCGTCCCGGACCGATCATCAGTAAGTGCAAACAATCAGGGATTGTGAAAGACATTTCCTCTAATAATGCTGGGCAGTGTCACAGTAGTCTTTTTACTAAATTGTATCTCAACGTGGCAATGATGGATGCACTTAAAAACTCGAGGAGAGGACAGAATGGAAGTAAGAAAATATTGACTATTCAGGGAATTGGTCTCTACAGTTATTCTTTTCTATCCCTTCTGACTGTCTTACTATCCACCTCATTGCAGATGGACGAAATACTGCCCAGAGGCTGTTTTCTGTCATCTAAGAAATTGAATGAATACATCAACTTCAAGCAAAAGAAAGTCTATGCTGATGTAATGCACATGATTTTGTTTTAAATATTTTGAATAGAAGAGCTTGAGACCATTACATCTCCTCTCTGCCTGCAGCAGCAGCAGCACTGACTATTTGCTCAGAGGACATAGCCAGACTCTTACTGCAGTGCTGCCATCTGTCCAGTGATCTATCTGTGTTTTTAGAGGCGCACAAGCTGATGTGGCCTAACAAGATCACTGAAATTGTTTGCACTGTAAATACACGCTGACAAGACAAGCAAACCGGGCTTGAGCGATAGCGTGTTCCAGGAGGAGATGGATCTCTGGTCCTGTCAGATGGTGAAACAACATTGAGGCCCCTCATTGCTTTTGCAAAAAAAAAAAACACAAGATGAGTCTTCATGTTGTTGTGTTTGGAGAAAAAAAAGACTGCTTTGATTCAATATTCTTTCCAAAGATTTATTCAATCAAGATGTTATCCATTTGAATGATGCCTCTTTAACGAAATCAAGTTCCAAAGGAGAAATAGGCGTCTGTTTCCTTCGCTGCAGATAGATGGGCTTGTTATGATCAGGGATAAAAAGAAAAGACTTTCTTCCTGAATATGAAGAATGTCTGAAGGCTTTTTCACTGATCCAGAAATGCAATATAAAGATCAAAATGTCAACTTAACATCTTCGCTAATTTGGTTTTGCGATAAGGCTTCATGATTGAAGGAAGGTCAGCTGGTTGAATAAATAAGTCCCTCGCTGTCTGCGATGTCTCTTGATGTTGTGAAGACTGAGCGGGTGGCTCTCAGAAACTAGAGTGCCAAAGTAAGCACGTTTCCCTTTTGCTGTTGACCCCTCATTTTCCAAGATTGCAGAGTAAAAGGTAAACAGATGAACAACATTAATGATGTCCATTCATCATTGTTGGGGCAGCTTTGGTTTCCTCCACAGTGGGGCCTTCAAGGGGAAGGTGGGAAGCCAGGGAGCCCCTTACTTTGAAGGATCTCATTAACAACAGTTAGAGCGCTACAGGGAGACCAACGTTTCTGATTATCATCTTTGATTTAAATAACGTGCCTTGAAACCGTGAATGTTGCTGAATACATATTTAAAACACAAATCCAAAAGCAAATGGATAAGAAGGCAGAGGACAACCTGCACAACAGGCTTCTGGGAGATGATGTAATTTTACTCTTTTTGCACCACCTGGACTGCAGAGCCAAACAGGATACGACAATATGATCCAGACCCTTTCTTCCTGTCATTAATTAGATGTGACAAACCGTGAATCTTTTCCTTCTGCGTCAACTGCATCATTGTGACGAAAACTGTATTTCGAATAACTGGTAAATAGGAAGTGCCCCAGCCATGAGTAAACAGCTGCTTACTGTTACCGAAGGTGATTAGCATTATATTACGACACATTCTTTCATTTAAAACGTGTCAAATCCTGTTTACTCTTCCAAGCTACATTGACATATTTCTGACACAAACACATTTTTGTTCCAAGGTTGTCAGGTGTCATCCTGTTTTCATGCCCATGTCTGTGCATGTGTGAGCATTGTTTCATTCTGTAGGAAGTCAGTCAACATGTTAAACAGACAATTGGAAGTTATTTTAGTCTGGAGGGACCATCAGTCATTGCAGAAAAATGTAATCTAATCTATGATACTATTTAACTTTATGCACCTGTGTCTTGGACATCACAATGTCTTGATGTCACAAGTAAACATGGTTCAGTTTATTCTGTTTGATATGAGGAGCAATTACAGCAAACCATACGACCAAAGGGAGAAATGCTAGCGGAAAAGAGTTGATACACCTCTGTGCTCTGGCACAACTTTGACATTTTGGGAAATACACTTGGCTTTCTTTCCCCAAGATTTAGATGAAAAGATTCATACCACACTTAAGATCTGTGCGCTGGGCAGTGGTATCAAATCTCTCGTCTCACTCTCAGCAAGAAAGTGAACATGTGTGTTTTCCAAAATGTCAAACTATTCCTTTAGCAGACAGATGAAAATTCAGTTTAAAAATGTTCCCAAAGACACTTTCACTCACATGTTTACTTCAAATCACATTGAGTAAGGAATATGCATTTTCTCTTTTAACTAACAGATAGACCGGCTCAGGTTTGGTAACATCTACATGGCAGACACAATGTAACGAGGTCTATGTCTTTCCACGAGGCTGTGCACCCCCCAACTAACTGTGCAGAGGACCTGGAGCACAGCGACAGCAGCAGCGCTCAGAAAGGAAACTGAGTGTTTGTCCAAGATAAAATTTCATCACCTCTACAAGCTGCGGGGACACGGGCCTGCGGTTGGTAATATAGAAGAGGAAAAACAGCACTGAGAGTGAGTTATCACGGCTTGTGTCATTGACAGTTGTAAAAACCGTTAGCTTTATAAATGGAGAGCGAGCAGAGCAAACTTCGCGGAAGTGGTCCCGCAGTCAGAGAGCAGGTTATAACTTAGGCCTGTGGTGATATACTCTAAACTCCATTAAGAGGTCCCACATGTGGAGCACATTCACAAGTTCATGGGTTGATTCTGTTGGGGGTGGTTCAGCCTGGGCCATTAAACAGATAAATTAGATACTTTTTTACAAATCCTTCATGTTAAAACATTCTCTTCACATTAAAACCCCAAAATGATGTTTAATGTAAATATATTTAATTTAGCGAGTTCTGCAGCAAGTCTCAGATCCCTCTGTAAACACGCTTGCTTATAAACTGTTAGGATTTATTCAGGCCCCTGACATGTTATTAAAAGAGATAAAAGAGGCAGAGGCTAATGGAATATACCCTTTGTGTTGCACTGTGATCGATTGGCAGTGAGACGATTTATTCCTAGAAGTGGGGGACACTTGAGTAAACATGAACACAATCGTGCTGGAAGATTTACAGGACTGCAATCGCACTTGAGTGCTGCTGTTTATTTTTTCTAGTTACAGAGTGTTTTTTTTAAACCTCAAATTAGTTTATCCTCCCTTTGGGGCTATGTGTAAGAGTTTTAAAAAGTTTCCTTCAGAAAACACACACACAAACACATCAGCCACATTCATAAAATAAACCTGCAGTGACAATAGCTGTGTGTAACACTTGTGCAATTACCCGGCATTAAAGTTTTGTAGGTCAAATCAATCTTTCTACAGCTGCACATGAACTCAAATGAAAAACATGTTGTAATGCTTGACTATATAGTGCTGCTGCACACAATTACAACATAATCATATACAAACATTACACCTTTATTGCTGTCTTAAAAGGGATTTGGACAAATACTCTTTTTGTTTTCTTTTGCTGAGAGTTAGATGAGAAGATCAATACCACTCTCGGTTCTGTAATGTAGTGTCAGCAGCCTTAAGCCTAGCTTAGCATAACGACTGCAAACAGGGGGAAACAGCTAGCCTGGTTCTGTCATATAGAAATCCACCCACATTATCAATGCCTCTAAAGCTCAATAAATAATGCGTTATATCAAGTTTGTGTAATCCGTTCAAAAGCAAATGTCAAACGATTCCTCTAATAACTGAATACGCTTGGATCCAGAATAGCGGGATAGGTAATCATTCATTTACACGGTCTTGTTTTTTAGGTGTCAAAACAATGGCAGAAAGCTGGAATGACTCACACTAATTCTAACCCACGGAGACTGATTTTTAAAGGCAGTGACTTCGAAGTATGGTGATAAAATGATCGATTGACTGTCAGAAGAGGAGCCCTTCGAGAAAAAGTACAGTAGTAGGCCGTGGCCTGAGCAAGTGCGAGGTGAAGTTCATCTGTGTGCAAATGTTTACGCAAACTGCAGCCAAGCAAAGTTGTGCACTGAGATTTATTTATGTGTAGAGAAGTATATTCACTCAAATAGCTATAGCTTGTAGAACAAGGAACAAGAAAATGGGAGCAGAGCAAGGAGAGGGTGGGTGGAGGTCAAAGAGCAAGGGAAAGTTAATAACTTGGAATAATAAATAATACAACGCACTGATGGGAATTTGGCAACAGGGCCATTTATTATCATCAGTTAATTCAGTTTGCTTGACAAAAATGTCTGAGCTCCTTACTGCTTTGTGGCT